GCGGCGATGACTGCTACTACAACGACGACGACAACAACGTGTCGGCTGCTGTGTCACGCGCCTGGACTTGGACGGGTACTGGGGTGATGTTGTTTGACGGCGTCCGTCGACGGTATCCGCCGTATGTCGGGCGCAGTGGGAAAAAGGCGGATGTTCATCGCGTCGGAGTGGTTCTCTTGTCGCTGAGAATGGGTCGCATCGTTTCGGCCACGTTTCCGGCGTTTCCAGAGGACCTCAACCCCGATTTCCGTCATTTCCTCGACATGTGAGACGAATTAAGAATTTTGAGAGAAGAAAAAAAAAGAGAGAGATTCCCGTGGATTGATGTTTTATTTATTTTGCAGGTGCATGAAGAAGGACGAGAAGAGTAGGTGGACTGCTTCGGAACTGCTGGAACACCCGTTTCTCAAGTCACCGTCTGCGTTGCCGTCACTCGTGTCACTTGTCAGCAGAGCAGGAGTGAGTGCTGACAACTGACAATGGCATACTTTTTTTTGTTTCTTTTTTCTTGAAGAAGTTAACAAAGTGTTGATGAAAAAGTTGCACGTCTTGTCTCAGAGGACGGCAGTTTGGAAACTGTTGCCAAGTGGGGCTTCGAAATACGCACACAATTCGACTTAAGGACACTTGAAACGAAACATTATGTTCAATGTCTCAGGATGTGGACATTTTGCCTACCTTTCTTTAAAAAAAATGGAAGAATGCAATTTTTTAAATCGAGCTATTGAAATTTTAAAACTTCAAAATTAATTTTTTACTCTAATGCAGAATCCAAAACGGGCTGGTTTTTTGCTTCTTTCTGGAGTTTTTTCCCCCATCATCTGTTCACAGTATAGGAAAGCTTGTGCTTGTTCTTCGTCTTTTTCGCTCCTTGTCATGCCAAATTATCAGATTATGTGTGGTTTTTTTCTGCAGTTATTTTCGGTATTGTGCCTTGAAGCTGAGGAAAATTGTTTTTTTCCATTTTGGGGGACTTCTTCCTAATTTTTTATTAGCAGGAGAACCAATTAAATATATTCCCAGTGAAGTCTGATCCGACATGCGGATGTTCCAACACATGTCCAAGCACCACTGTTTTTCTCGTAATCGTGATTGAAACCTGAAAAAATATAAAAACTAAATTGCTTTGAACGCAGGATTCAGTTTTGAAGCCGGAGCGAGACGATAAAGACGTTCAAAAGGGCGTCTCTGGTGCGTTGCCCGTCGGAGGGGCGACGGATCCCCGACTT